ATTAGGTTATTAGAAAATCATGAAATCTTGTGCTGAAGAAAATCATTTTTAATATTTTATTTATTAACTTCATTTTCTATGTATGAGGGTATTGCCTGCATGTGTGTAAGTGCATATGCCATGCAATGGTATCAGAAGAGGGTGTCAGATCCTCTGGAACTGGAGTTACAGATGGTTGTTAGCCGCCATGTGGCTGCTGGGACTCGAACCAGGGTCCTCTGCAAGAGCAGCCAGTGCTCTTAACCCCTAAGCCATCTCTCCAGCCCTGAAAATAATTTTTAACTATCCTGATGCTACAGAGTTCCATCCTTAAAAAGACAGTGAACCTCAATACTTTTATATAAATTATTAATGTCCACATGAATTGTTACAAAACAGGCCTACTTTTTATTTAGAATCAAGGTCAGAAAAATTTACAAATTTCATCCTAAGCATTTGTGCTTGGATTTAGAAAGCAATGCATATGCATGTGCACTATTACACACCATCAATGCATACACACGTGCACTATTACACACCATCAATGCATACACACGTGCACTATTACACACCATCAAACTCGTTCTTTTCCATACTCATCTTGGCTTTATGCCTGTCTTCTCCTTTCTTCCTTTTCTTTTCCATCTCTTTTTCTCTTTTTCTTGTCACGGTTGTGCTTTAAATCATTTGGAGACGATGACAGAACAGAAGGTTGGTGGAGGTAGGGGAAAGATTGCTGGAGAGAAAACATGGAATGGTTTGAAGAAAGCCACAGGAGAAAGAGATGAAAAGAGTTCTTATGTAGTAATTTAGACTATTTTATTATCTACTTCAAGCATAATTTTAATTGACTTTGATCCTATTAAATATTCTCATGTGGAACATGTTCTGTCAGAAAATATAAGTAGAATAAGTTTGTCCTCAATGCTACAATCAAAGTAAAAATTGTGTCTTGGTTCTCATATTTGATCAAGTATCATAAATATGATCTATAAAAGTTCAATAACATCCCAAGTGCCAGCATACCTGACTCATAGAATCAGAGAATTTGTGCTTCTCAGAATAATGTATCCCTATTAAAGGAACTTCAAGGTGAGTAGAAAATTTACAAAAAACAAAAACATAGTTTAAATAAAGAAGAGTGATGTGTATGCAGTTAAGAGTAAGGTGGATTGGAAAGTGGACCGTGCTGATCCTTCCACAGTCACTGATCAGAGCAGATGCCTTACAAAAAAGTGTGGGGGAAAGAGCTGGTGTGTCAGCTAATTCACTGCAAAGCTGGAGGAAAATGAAATTAGCAAAGATTTGGGACCTCAGATGAACCTGAAATGTCTAAAGTGAAAAGAGTTTTTCCCCCCAAAGGACTTTTGCTGAGTCCTTTTGTGGCACTGTGTCTATAGGTATCCGGGGACTCAGACAGGAAGTGTAAAATTTCCCATAATCTCATGATGCTTACAAGTAAAATACCTTTAGGAAAGGATAGTGTCTGCCCCAAACATATAAAACAATTGAATTCACATGCAATACTAGCAATGTTTGAGTAGGTAGGTAGGCAGACAAGCAGGAGGTTGAGGGTGTCATATCCAACCACCCCTTTTGTGGTTCGGATATCCTGACTGGGTCGAATGGTAACAGTAGGAAGATAAATTAGGCCAACCACAAGAAAACACCTTCAGCAAACTCTAGTAGACTATGTTCATATACCTTATGATCCTGGAGTTCCATTCTTGGGTATTTACCCAAGGGAAATGACACAAACCTATCCAAATATAATGTGCAAGAATATTTATGAGCAGCTGTATTTGTAACAGTCAAAATTTGGGGAGTTCTACTATTCAATGACAGAATTAATAAGCAACAAGCAGTATATTCATACAACAGAATAGTCAGCAAATAAAGACCACATATTACCACTAATGGCAACGACACGATAAAACCTCTCATTGCAGGGGAAAAGGGAATTTACGCTATGATTCCGTTATTACACAGGTCTTTTATTACACAGGTCCTGCTGGTGTTTCGTTTGAGGAAGCTAAAAAATAATCTTTCTGGGGTGGTAGAGATGTTCTATTTCCCCCTAGGCTAGGCCTCCAGGCTACATTCCAATAAAAAGTCATAAAGCTACATCAGGCTTCACAATTCAGTGAAACCTCAGCAAAACCAACAAAACACATAGAATCGTTTACTTGTACAACTAGAAAGAAACTCAGTGATCATCTCAGCCAAACTGTATTCCACAGATGAGGAAACCAGGGCTAAAAAAAATTAGGAGGCTTGTTAACATCATGTAGCTAGTTTATCTGAAGTTAATCTACTGGCACTGATTCTTTGCTGAAACTGCATTAGCATACAAGCAAAATGGGGAAGACAGTATTTACTTTTATGAAGCACAGGCCCTAGATGTAGAAATAAGAATTTAACAACTACTCTAAATTGGAGATATTATTACATCATTGTGATGATGTGAATGACAAGCGCAGGATGTTTTTAGCAATTAAGACTGGAGCCGAACCCAGATTCCTGGCTCTCAGAATACTGTGTTCTTGAATACACCTCAACTTCCTTTTTCCCATAAACTGTGAACTTAAGTTAGAGTACCAAAAAAGCCCCATTAAAAAAAAGAAGAAGAAGAAGAAATAGTACGCAAAGTTGTTGGGAAAAAGTATTGGGGAGATATGGGAGGAGTTGGAGGGGAGGGAATGGGCATGGATTTGATCAAAACACCTTATATGTGTGTATGAAATTCTCAGTAATTTTTAATGTAAAAAAAAAACAAAAGAACCAACAATAGCCCTAAATGGATTGACTTCAGCATATTTCACAAGCAAACCTAATAAATTTAAGGATGTCTCTGTCCAGGACTGACCCAAAATATTCTATTTCAATGAGGAAGACACTAATGAAATTATTGCAGCTAATTTTTTTTCTGTACATTAGCTCTCATTTCTTTGTATTTGTTATCTCTGCCACCATCTCTTAATAGAGCAACCCCTGATGCCTGTTTATTTGATATTTCTGTGGATCCAATGTCTAGCAATTAGCCAACCTCAAAAACAGAGCCATGATAAATTGATCTCAAGACAACAAAGACATTGTAATAAAATTAAAATACACCACACATCTGACTCCTTAACCAACTTACAGTCTATTACTTCGGAATTTGTTTTGAAAGATACGCTACTGCTCAATATCTGGCTGGCACAGATTGGCTCAGCCAAAAGGCTGTTCCAATTTCCCTTCAACAAGACACAAATTATGAGTAGCCTCAGCCTTCTCTGGCAGGAAGCGCCATAGCCCCAGTCTTTATTTAGTTTTGGACCCTTAGAAGTAGATACTGGGACAGGAATTTTGCAAGCACAGTTGGTTGGTTTAAGAGCTCATCCATGAAGCACCAAGGGAAAGGAAGAGAGAGGGCAAGAGAAATAAAGGGCTGTGTGCATCTGCTTCCATCAAAAGGTAACTGCTGGCAGGCTGGGAGATGTGCTTCTGAGTTGGTCCACCTGAGGGGCAAGAGACCTGGCGTGTTCATGCCCCAGCTCCCGTTCATCACTGCTGGAAGGCTCTCTTGGGGCCTTAGCTCCCGTGTACTTCCAGCTGGCCCCTTATATAGGCTGAGCACACAGCTATAGGTAGAAAAAGTCCACAGGCAAAATTGACAGCCTTTGCAGCAAGACACCATCTGTGCATAGGGAAATGGTGAATTTGAGGACATATGGATGGATGGAAACAGTGTCAACATACAAATAACTCAATTAGTGAAGCACTCATGCAAGAGTGTGCAAGGGAACCATTCTTTAGACACGAGCACCAGCCGGTGTTTACTCAGTTGAGATCAGCTGAAGGAAGATGAACTGCACACAACTTGTTTCAAAACATTGAAAAGCATTATAGGAATAAACCATTCTTTTCTTCCCTCATTACTTAAACTATGGACCATCTGCATCTTAAGTCTACTGCTCAAAAGAATTCTTTTTCTCTGCAGGAAAAACACTCATGTGCAGCAAAAAATCATTCCTGCCAGCCTCAGTACACGAATGGGAGAATCACAGAGCACCTATGGCAGTCAAGGGTTATAACAGCAACATATACTCAGCTTCTTCTGAATTTAATTGACAGATGAAGTGGAGACTAACAGAATTGCTTCAATTTACATAACTCTTCCCTATTATGTTACTTTCTAATGCACAGAAATTACATTAAGAAAAAAATTACAAAATCTAGCAAAAGGTTGGAGGACAGAATTTAACTAAACTACTCCATTTGAAATCACATAAATTCTCTTTTGACAGATGAAATCATTTGCATGATGTCATGGTCATGTCCTTGCCCTCATCATGATTGCTGTTTGTTATCATTCTGGGTTGTCAAGATACTCCAATTTACATTCCTCCTTTGGGTCATACTTTTCATGACTCTGTTATGTCCACTTTACATTTAAGTGAGAACACTGGTTTTCGCCAGTCTTTTGCCACAACCTCGCTCTATTCCCAAAGCATTTATTTTAATTCATCTTTTGTTGGTTCAAGTTCATGATGAGGAATTTGTTTTCAAAGAGGATCTTGAACACAGGAAATGCCTAAGACTTTCATGCTTGCTTTTACTGTGAAGTCCCCACTGCGTTTCCTTCACAGCTCCTGGGTAGCTTCATCTATTGTGTTAGGTTCTGAAGAAGTCTGAAGTTGGCCTGGAAACTGGCCCTTGTAAATTACTTTCTCTCAGTTCACACATTTCACAATTTTTTCTTTTATTCTGGTAGTACTGCTGTGGAGCACTTTGCATATTTTTCTACTATATGTGTATATATTCCTTATAAAATATATTTTATATATATTCCCTATAAAATATATATTTATGTGTAGTCCTTATTTTATATATATATATAATTTCTTCTCTCTTTTTTCCTTTCTGCTAGATGAGGTTGCCACTTTGGACTAAAAGCGTCTCTTTTTCTATTTCACACATTTCTTCCCAACAGTCTTACCTACTGCACTGCAGCTGGAAGACAAATAGTAAAATCTCCCTACTGTCTTCACTCCAGCACCTGCCAGTATGTTTTCTAAGAAATGGTAGAAAGACGAATGAACTTCCAGTGCTCTCGCATGATCTGCCTTGTCCCCTACAGCTTCCTATTTCTTTTCAAGGCTACTACTATGGTTGAGATGAATGTCCAAGAAGGCTCAAGTTTTTACATCTTAGTCCTTGGGGTGGTGCTGCCAGGGAGGTGGTAGAAGAATCATTAGGATGTGGAGCCTGGGCCTTGGGACGTGCTTTTGCCAGGGTCTGTGAAACCTGATCTCCTAGCATGTCTCTACTCCTTAAATCACAATGTAATTGCAACCTCATGCTTTTGGCACTTGGTGTCACCACCAGCAGGGACCCAAAACCATGGGGAACCCAGACTGTGACTGGAATCTATAAAACAGTAAGTCATACTGAGTTCAATGTTGTATAACTGTATTAACTCAACTGTGAACCTAGAAGCTTGCACCCACTTGTAAAAGAGATGTACTCTTGCTCTGGAGTGTGTTACTGAATATGTTAAAACTGTAGTGAAATGCTTCTTCTAATCATGTAGTTATTAAAAAATTTTTAAAAAATGATTAAAAAATTAAGCATATCTCAACAACAACAAAAAAAAACAGTATGTCAAAATAAAATAAGTTCTTTGTCCTTGTTAAATTACCTCAAGTATTTCATTATAATGACATAAAACTGACGATTACAGCTACCATTGTTTGAGGTTTACCGCATGATAAATAGTTTTACTGGCCCTTTGTTGTTTTGGTTTAAATTTACTTATTCAGAAAACTACTTTTGGGGGCCATTTTATTCTTCCATCTTAACATAGATCTTCCTGAAGTATATGTTCCTTGGCTCTTTGCACAGTGTTTGAGCTCAGTAATCCTCGAATTCTCAGGTCTAGTAGCACTCATTTTTCTCCCCCAGCTTACACTAATGCCCTTGAAGACTTAGTGTGATCTTCAGTACAATATTCTATGTCTATACCTTACTGTGAGGGGCAAGCAGTGACATAGACAACGTGACATGCAGGAGGAACTGCGTGTCAGAAAACTTTGCCAACTCAGGAGGAAAGAGATTTTCATTATAACCACTTCCCTTACCTAAGGAATTTGCTTGAGTACCAGGTCTTTACATATGTGGGCACCACAGGTGCTGAATAAGTTAACCGTTGTCAGAGATTTCATTCTCTACCAAATTTTACCCAAAGAGTCACTCTAAAGAATAAATCAAAATGTCCATTCTTACATATTATTTTGCTATAGAAACCTTAAAATAGTCTTGAAAATAGCCAGGTCCTCATTCCTGAATGGTATAATTTCAATAACTTTCAAATATTTCATTGGTTTATTTCCAACCTGAAATCTCATAATAAGGAAAGATTAAACAAGCAAACATTTTAAAGAAAAAAGTGGGGCGAGGAGAATGAAGGCCAGGGAGTCAGTGAGTTGTTCTATTTACAAAACTGTTTACACTGGAGAGATGATTACAGAAAATGCAAAGTAACATGAAAGGGTTTCTTTCTTTAGTTCTACCCTGGAGACAAGCAAAGCAAAAGATGAACAGCTGAACACACAGTGCTGGGAAGCTCTTGTATACTTTACCTTGCAGTAAATCAGGGGGATAAAGGACATTAAATAAATGTTCCCACAATTCTGAAAACTGAAAGTTGGTTTATGATAATAACCAAATGGAAGTCCACTGTAATTCTGTGAAATGAAATCCCACAGGGCCCTCATGAAACCCAACAGCTTTATCTTTGTACTGAGGATACATTAAGAGGTCAACCGCTACATTTATTTTTAGGGCTGAGTTTTCACAAGATTCTCTCATACTATGCCTATCTCTGAAGGGTGGGGGTGCTGCACTCTGCCGTCTCGGAACGCAATGTCACTATTCTTGTCTGCATATTTTACATCCCAGGAAGATGATAACAAGACACTTGACCTTCCAGATCTCCTCACCCGTGTTTTCCATTTCTTAGCACATTTCTTTTCCATTGAAGCCTCAGAAAAAACCACCTGTCATTGTCCTTAGACAATCAAGGGGAAGGGACACTAAATAAGTCCTCTCCTGGCCATGGTATGGAAGTCTGAAAAGCTTTACCTTCTGGAAAGCCTTGGGTGCCATATTCAGATAGGAGCCAGTTACAAAATGAGCCAAACAGGAGAGTAGAAAACCGCTTAGAATGGCTATAGAGTTCAAAGCTGCATATAGTTTATTTATAAATAAAAATTTAGAGACAGAAATTAATAAGATGATCCCAAAGATTCCTAGTTTATTAGTACATGCACACTCAAGAAGAAAGACAGCATGTTTATACGTTTCTGCCATTTGACAGAAAAACAAGGTTGGTTATAGTCAGGCATCCTAGCAGAAACAGTGCTAGATCACCTGCAGACTACAAGCATTGGGTTTGCTTCTTATCTGTGGGCATGTCAGGATAATTTCCCTGAATACCTATATTTCCACTGTCCATGCTATAAAATTATACATCAACTTTATGACTTTAGGTTAACTTAATTCTTTAATTGTCATGAATTCTGATAAAAGGTATTTATGAATAAATAGTATTTAAATTTTAACCCCCTTTATTTATTCCCTTATGAATTCTCTCCTTGAATTAATTTATTCCATGTGTGCATCACCCAAAATAGTCCAAAATGGTTGAAAACAGGTTGGTTTTAACCATCTGTTGTTACCCACAGTATCCACAATTAACCATAGCATGACATATTAGAATTTTAGACATGATATTTGAATACTATACTAATACTTCATCTAAAAAAAATGTTGTGGGGGCTGGAGAGATGGTTCAGTGGTTAAGAGCACTGGCTGCCCTTGCAGAGGACCTGGACTCAAATCTCAGCACCCACATGGTGGCTAGCAACTGTCGGTAACTCCAATTCCAGGGGATCTCATGCCCTCTTCTGACCTCCATGGGTACTACATGACACAGGTGCACTTATATACATGCAGGCAATACACTCATACACATAAAATAAAAATAAACAAATCAAAAAAATATTTTAATGTTGGGCTGGAGAGATGACTTCTCTAGTAAAGAGCCTTGGCTGCTCTTCCAGAGGACCTGGATTCCACTCCCAGCACCCACATGGCAGCTAACAACTGTCTGTAACTCCAGTTCCAGGGGATCCAATGGCCTCTTTTGGTTTCTGTGGGCATTGTACAATACAGGTGCACTTATATGCATGAAGGAAAAACCTTCACACACATAAAATAAAAATAAATAAATTTTAAAGCTTATTTGAAAGAAGAAGTGTCAATATAGACACTGATACTCTGTAGCACGAAGGTTTGTAACCAAGGTCAAGTTCTTCCTCTGTCCCCAGTAGCACCAACTCAGCAGCTATTGAGACACACAGTGAAGGAGAGTCTAAAAGGCTCCAGGAAGATGTGTGTTGTCCACACAGAGGGAGCAGGACATCATTGTGTTGAACAGAGATGGCTGTACTGACACTCACACATACATCTCCTCAAACAACTTCACAACAGTACAACCTTCTGCTCTGCACTCCTGCTTCAAAGAATTGAAAACACAGCAGTTTCCCCACGTATCCCTGTCACTTTAAAATTTTCAAAATCTTTTTATAAGTAATTTTTTCATGGGAGAAAAGTTTCTATTAGTGAGTTTCTAGTTCAAATGCATAGCTGGTGGATGCAACAGCATTGATAAGGCTCCAGTACCCGCCCGGGATGCTGCCCTCTCTAACGGGTTGTAGGTATGTCCAGGATGGGCAGCCCTTAAGGAAATTCTCTATGGGACTGCTGAAGAACTGAATCAGCAGCAGCTCATGCATGTGGATTCAATTGTTTTTGTTATTTAATCTTGAGATAAGAAAAAAAAATCCATACTGATCCCAGTGGATTTCTGCACTGAAGATAAACACCAACTGTGAAACAATACAGAGAACTGAAATTAAAAGACTGGACTGTGAAAAGGCAAGAACACTCCTTTTAAAAAGTAATCTAAATATATGCTTTAGCAAGATGCTGAGGGACTAGGTCTTAGAATCTGCCTTTGTTCATTTGACCTTGGACCTGAACCCAAATCATAAAAGCCTGCAAATCTGTATTTGAATGGGGCTAAAATTCCATTTCTTCACCTTCTAGCATGTCTTTGTAAAATATTTATAAATAAGGCAGAACTGCACTCAGTATTTCAAAGGGGGTGGGGGCTGCTGGTCGAATTCACAGAAAGAAGACATAAATAAATAAGACTTAGAATACTTTTTTAAGAACTTGAAAAATAACTTATGCTGCAAAAACTACTTTTGAAATTGCAGTGCCATGTTCTGCCCGCTGTTTCCAGAGGCACCGCGGACATAGGAGAGTTCTCTAATGCAGGTTTCCAAACCACTGGTTCTGGAAAGGGCTAGTGTGAACTCGTCCTGCTGCGTGGTGCCCTTGACACTTTGGTTTACTTATTGGCAACATTTTGGCAATACGTCCTATGCAAACGGGAAAGGTAGAAACCAAGCATGTGAGGAGAGCCAGACCCGCACCCATTACTTCTTCTCATGCCTCTTGGTTAGCTCACGCCCACCCGGCTGGCCCCGCGCCTGGCTGGCCCTGGGTCTGCCTTCACTCCGCCGGCTCTCCTGGGAGACTTGCCGCACAGCTTGCAGGATGGCGTTCTGCACGATCTGCTTGCTGGCGTTCTGCAGCTTCGCCTCCTCCGGCTCATTCCCCGGCTTCTCACCTAGCCAAACGCATGAAGAGGTGGAGAGAAGAGAAATTACTTTGAGGATCTGTAATGAGGGGCGGGGATAGCGGAGAAAGACAGGAGGTGCTCTGTGAGGGACTCTCTATAGAACCTGCGGCTACTGTCTCCTTTTTCCATTTTCTCCATGATCCCCATTTGGTTTCCCCGGCAATGCACTGAAGTTAATATTTTACCCTCTCCTAGAGTCCCCAGCTGCTAGAGGTGGTCACAAGACAGTCCAAGCCACCAAAGACCTCAGGGAAATCTGTTGGGAAGAGACAGACCCACACCCCTTTGGCCTTTTGCTTCTTCCCCTTCCCAATGGAACACAGACACAGAATACACCTCTTGCTCAGCCATCTCATCTGGGGATGAATGCCTGCACTGTGGGCAAGCTAAGGAGAAAGAGGTCAGTTTTAAAGGCAACCACTGAGCATCTTCATAAGCCCTGGGCCTTGTATGCCATGAAAACAAACACCTTTTGTTTAATCCACCACTATTGAGATTTTATGTTACCTGCAGACAACCACCTGCCTAAGATATAATGTCATGGGGTCGAAGAATGATGGATGATCATGAGTTCCAGAGCAGGGACTCAACCCTGCTCCTGCAATGGCCAGGAGGGGCATGGGGGGAGTCCTCAAAAGCCATCCCCTGTTGCCTAGAACATGGCTGGCAAACTTCTGGAAAGGATTGGAATAGATAGGTTAGGCTGGGGGCCGTACCATCTCTGGAATAACTGCTCAGCTCTGCTGTAACAACATAAATCAGCTAGAGGCAATATGCAAATGAACACATGTAATAAAACTTTATGAAACAATGAGCTATAGGCAGATTGGTTCCGAGGGCCATTTTTTGTCAGTGGCTGATCGACATGGAAGGGTAGAAATTTTCGCATTACAGAGTTTCCTCAACGCTACCCAACACTTTCTCTTTTTTCCTTTGTTAATACAACCTTAGTTTTATTTTGATAGTTATATAGCTAGCCAATGACATAGAAGTGGAAGTTTAGTGAAAATTCTGCAAATGAGCCTTAAGGAGAGCAAGCTGATAAAAAAAAAAAAAAACTTTTGCTTTCCCCCATCTTACTGTCACAAAAGTGGCTGCAAGGTTGAAATGTGTTGCTACTATGAAAATGTATTTAAAGTGTGAATGGGGGAGGTTATTTTGATAGTTATATAGCTAGCCAATGACATAGAAGTGGAAGTTTAGTGAAAATTCTGCAAATGAGCCTTAAGGAGAGCAAGCTGATAAAAAAAAAAAAAAACTTTTGCTTTCCCCCATCTTACTGTCACAAAAGTGGCTGCAAGGTTGAAATGTGTTGCTACTATGAAAATGTATTTAAAGTGTGAATGGGGGAGGGTTTCACCAGTATGGTATTCAATAAAATGGGCTTCATGTCTCATTCAAAATAATTTCTCCACATCCTTCTTCTTTTGAAATGTGTTGCTACTATGAAAATGTATTTAAAGTGTGAATGGGGGAGGGTTTCACCAGGACTGATTCATTAACAGTAGAATTTGTATATCCATGAAGAAAACACTATATTACAGAATGGTTATTTTGGAAGATCAAACAGCTTCTTTTAGAGACATAACTTGTTTGTTTTGTCTTTCTGCCCATCCCCTGAGGGATTTAATATCTGATGAATAACACAAGATCAACTTATTCAAAGCAAAGAATAATATCAGAAAGAGGATAAAATGGTTCACCAAAGCCAATTTAATCAGAGAAGAAATCCATACAAAATGAAACTCATGTCAGAGAATGCTACGAACATTGTCTGTGGGAAAAGAGTGAACAGTGATAAAGAGTACTATGAAGACATACCCAGGAAGTGCTATTAGGAAAACATGTTTTGAGATACTTGGAGCTGAGTTCACATCCTCCTGCCATATACAGTCTAATCGTGGGCAGGACACTTCACCTCTCTAAGCTCATTTTCATATCTCTTAAAAGGGCTGGCAATATCTGTTTGAGATGACTGCTAGGAAACTAAGTGACCCATCTATTCAGAACTTCATGTGGTTCCTGACAAAACGCATGTCCTTAGTAGATATCTGCCACGGTGTATTAGTGAGGCTATAGACTAAGCCTTGGCAACAGAGAAATTAAAACATAAGACTGCTCACACAGAGAGGGATGTTTATTACACTCTCATGTACAGATCTATTCCAGTGTATATGTGGTTTGTGCCACAGGTTGTCTGAGGACTTTTCTTCCTTCCAATTTCATTGCCCTGCCATTCTGCATGATATGACCTCCACCTTCATGAGGGAAGCTGGTCAAACAACATCCCAATTGGAGCCAGAAGGAAGCAAAAAACAGATTGGAAAGCAAACAATTTCCTTTAAAAGACTTGTCAAAGCAGCCAGGTATGGTGGCACATACTTATAACCTTGGCACTTGAGGGGTAGAGAAAAGAAGGCTGGGAGTTAAAGGTTATCCTCAGGAATATAGTGAGTTCAAGGCCAACCTGGGCTACCTCAAAAGAATGAAAGAAAGAATGTCTTAAAAGCAGCAAACCACTTTTCTCACATTCTGTTGGAGGGAAACTTAGTCACTTGGCCACACCTACCTACAAGGGGGGATTGGGAAACATTCTCTTAACTGGGCAGCTGTACAGTCTACTAAAGTTTAGTAAGGTTCTAATACTAGAATAAAGAAGAATTATAGACATTTAAGGCTTATTTCTATGGCAAGGGCTATGGACATGTTGAAAGGGGAGGATATGTATTTGTAGTAGGTCAGATTTGCTGTTCAGGGAGTTTTGCAGACTATCATGAAACAATATAAGTTTGTGAACAACAAACAAGAATTTTTATGTGCATCGATGTGTGACTATGTATGGGTATGCACACATGTGTGTAGGTGCCCACAAAGGACAGAAGGCATCGGATCCCCTGGAGCTGGAGTTAGAAGAGGTGTGAGTTTTCTGGGAACCAAACTTGGGTCTTCTATGACACAGTACTAGCCCTCAACCACTGAGCCATCCTTCCAACCCAACAAAAATAATTTTAAAGATCCACACTTGGCCCAGGAAAGAGTATTTTACTGAAACTACTAATATGGCCCTGTTACATAGCTATTTTTCTGTCTTTGGAAAAAGGAAAGAAGAGTCTAGGGATAAGAGTAAGGTGAATTTTTAATAAGAGAGACAGAAAGCATCATTCTAATTTTAGCTATGACCTAATATTTGAACTAAATATTCATTTTCCTTATTCAACCATTATGAAGACAGATGGATTTAACAGTCAAAGGCAAATGTGTTCCAGACTCAGTCTAGAGAACCCTTGAGTGCCTGGAAGTTTGGTTTAATAAATGCTCATGTGTGCTAAATATATAAAGGACATACTCAAGTGTTGGGCATTCAGGTATATCCTGTCTCTTTTCCCCTAAGCTATGTGGGAAGGGACAGCGGGCAGTTACTACAGGGACATGAGTGCCACAGATGACTTCCTAGCTGATCCTTAAAGCTCTAGTCATTGTATTAGCTAAGTCATCTACTGCCAAGAGAGAGCCTCAGCTGTTTACCTGTCGTTGCCAGCTAGCAACCTCTCCCATCCTTGCAACTAGCTGACTCTTGCCTTATCTTGAGTTGGAATTCTCTGGTGAGAACCTGCTAGACACAGCACACCACCATCATTCCTAAAAAGCTGCACATTCATGCCAGCATTGTTACAGGTCAACTGTGACTGTATACCTGTTCTTTTTTTAGCCCATTTAGCTGTGGCCTGGGAAGTCAGGTCTACAGACAAGAACACAGCTCCTTGAAAGACGAAATCACCCAATCCCTTGCAATGTGGGCAGTGTAGGTATTCTTTGTCAAACATAATGCTGACTTCTGTTCCAAGTATTCATTTCCAAGAACATAGTGTTTGAGAAAATCCTGGTGGAGATCCAAATTCTCCCATAAGCACAGTATGAAGTATACTAAAACACAACAGAAGGCAAAGCCAGCAGCAGAAATCCTAGGAACCTTGTCATTTATTTACAGGCATTTAACTGGTTGTGATATAATGAATCACCTACGTGTTGTAGGTGATTCTGGTTCTAAATGATTCAAATGTCCTCTAGCTTAATTAGCATTTACGATACCATTTTCCTTTTTCACAAAAGATGACAAATTGATTTAATTAGTCTTAAACTCTAAATGCCAAATATAAGTAGAGCTATGTCAGGAAGGTGAGAGAACTAGATTTGTCTTCAGCATCTTTCTACCTCGCCTGCCCAGGTAACCAGAATGCCCTGCTTCCCAGTGACCGTCTGGCCTAGAATATGGAGGGTGCAGCATTTGATAGAACACCAAGATCTCTGCTGCTCCCAGCTGACCTTGTCAGAGCTTCCTGACCAGGGTCCCATTCTCACCTGCCCCTGTGGAAGATGTCTAAGCAACTCATTTGTCATTTGGCTAAAAATTGACCTTGATTCTTTATAGATGGTTATTAAAATTATACAACCAACAACTATAGGAAGATACAAATTTGCATCAGTTCCTACCAAAAAAGGCTAAATGCCCTTTACCTCTGTTAGCCCTACTATATTTCACTGTAGTTGGTTTTGGAAAGGTTAGTGTTGTCATTTAATTTAGAGAAAGAATCTGCATCGCACAGAGAGAGTCGCAGAAGCTGTGTCATCAACAGTACATCTAGCCTTCATCACTCCCTGCTGGGTCACCAAATCTGCCAGTGGTAGACGTCCTCATCAGGACCACAGAGGGCCCACCACCTCTGCCCCCACATGCTCTTTAACATATCATGCTGTTGGTAGTAACCAGGCAGCATATTTCTTATCTTCTCCTCAGATCTCCTGACATTGTAAGGACAGCATTGTCATCCATCAATGACCAGTCCATGGGGCGCAGAGAACAAGAACTAATTCTGGTCGCTTTAATAATGGAATGATATGATAAGTACAGGAATTTTCCATGAAGGACCAGATGTTAGATCCCACCCATCTGTACCAATTGCTAATGAAGCCCTGCTGGCTGCCTCACA